AGAAAGGCATGGTTCGAAAGAAAGGGTAAGCCTAGTGCTTCAGTATGTTTCGAATCAAATTTTACTGAGGTTCCTTATTATACTTGGTGGGTTGACACTGGTTGTACCATTCATGTTTCCAAAACGATGCAGGGATTCCTTACGACCCAAACCATAAGGAAAAATGAGAAGTTCATCTATATGGGAAACCGAGCCAAAGTTCTAGTTGAAGCTATTGGGACTTATCGTTTGGTTTTAGATACTGGTCATCATTTGGACCTTGTCAATACCCTTTATGCTCCTTCTATTTCTCATAATTTGGTTTCGGTGTCTCACCTAGATAAGGCTGAGTATTTTTGGAACATTGGAAATGGTTCTATTAGTTTGTTCAAACATAATGTTTTATTGGGTTCTGGTACCCTTGTACAAACTAAAGCTTGATACCCTATTCGTTGAGACTCTCTTAACCTTGCATCATAATATTGGTATTAAGCGTGGTTTGATGAATCCTGTGCTTACTTGTGGCATAAACTTTTGGGTCACATATCCAAAGAAAGAATGGAAAGGTTAGTAAAGAATGAAATCCTTCCTCATTTGGATTTTACTGACCTTGGAATTTGTGTTGAGTGTATTAAAGGAAAACACACAAAACACACACTTAAGAAAGCAGCCACAAGAAGCTCACAGCTCCTTGAAATTATACACACTGATATTTGTGGGCCTTTTGATGTTCCATCACTTGGTGGAGAAAAGTATTTCATTACCTTTATCGATGATTTTTCATGTTATGGATATATCTATTTGCTGCATGAAAAATCTCAGTCGGTAGATACCCTTGAGGTGTTTATCAATGAAGTTGAGAGGCAATTAGAAAGAAAGGTGAAAATTGTCAGATCTGATAGAGGTGGAGAATATTATGGAAAATATGATGAAAGTGGTCAGTGCCCTGGTCCATTTGCTAATTTCCTAGAAAGACGTGGTATTTGTGTTCAATACACTATGTCAGGAACACCGCAACAAAATGGTGTTGCAGAAAGGCGGAATCGTATTTTAATGGATATGGTTAGGAGTATGTTAAGCAATTCATCTTTACCCAAATCATTATAGATGCACGCTTTAAGGGCCGCTGTGTATTTGTTAAACAGGGTTCCTAGTAAAGCAGTTCCTAAGACACCTTTTGATATGTGGACGGGAAGGAAACCCAGTTTAAGGGACCTGCATGTTTGGGGTTGCCCAGCGGAAGTGAGAATATAATCCACATGAAAAGAAACTGGATTCACGAACAATCAGTGGTTTCTTCATTGGTTATCCAGAAAAGTCTAAGGGGTATCGATTTTATTGCCCTAACCATAGTACGAGAATTGTTGAAACAGTAAATGTTAGGTTCATTGAGAATGGTGAAGTTAGTGGGAGCTTAGAGCCACGCAATGTGGAAATTCAAGAAGTTAGAATGCAAATCTCTTTGCCTCTTCCCTCTTCTCAAGTTGTTGCTCCTGCACATGTTGAGCATGATAACAATTTGCAAGAACAACAAATGAACGATCAAGCACCACCTAATATATCTATTGAGAATGAACCTAACATAGATGAACCACAAGAAATCGCATTAAGAAGGTCTAAAAGAAATCGAAGACCTGCAATTTCGGATGATTATGAGTTTTATCTTCACGAGTTAGAATCTGATTTAGGACTCTATCATGATCCAGTTTCATTTTCACAAGCCATGGAAAGTGAGCATTCTGATAAATGGTTAGCTGACGCGATAGAAGAGATGAAATCTATGTATAAAAATGAAGTTTGGGACCTTGTTGATTTGCCTGAAGGTTGTAAAAGAGTTGGTAATAGATGGGTCTGGAAGACCAAACACGACTCTAATGGCAATATCGAAAGACACAGGGCCAGACTTGTTGCCAAAGGTTTCACTAAGAAAAGTGGTGTTGACTATAAAGAGACATTTTCACCCGTCTCTAAGAAAGACTCCTTAAGGATTGTCATGGCAATGATAGCTCATTATAATCTAGAGCTCCATCAGATGGATGTGAAAACCGCCTTTCTAAATGGGAATTTAGATGAAGCAGTCTATATGGATCAACCTGAAGGTTTTGTGGTTGAGGGAAAAGAACATTTGGTGTGTAAATTAAAGAAGTCAATATACGGACGTAAACAAGCTTCCCGAAAATGGTATATTAAGTTCAATGATACCATTACATCTTTTGGATTTAAGGAGAACATCGTCGATCGATGTATATATCTGAAGATTAGTGGGAGTAAGTTTATAATTTTAGTTCTGTATGCTGACGATATCTTGCTTGCTACTAATGATCTTGGTTTATTACATCAAACCAAGGAGTTTCTCTCCAAGAACTTTGAAATGAAGGATTTGGGTGAGGCATCCTATGTGATTGGAATAGAAATATTTCGTGATAGATCACAAGGACTGTTGGGATTGTCTCAGAAATCATACATTAATCGGATCCTAGAGAGATACAACATGGCTGAATGCTCTGCAAATGTCGTTCCAATTTAGAAGGGAGATAAATTTAGTCTCAAACAATGTCCAAAGAATGAATTGGAACGCAAGCAAATGGAACACATTCCTTATGAATCTATTGTTGGAAGTTTGAATTATGCACAAACTTGTACCAGACTAGACATCAGTTTTGCTGTCGGAATGCTGCGCAGGTATCAAAGTAATCCAGGAGTAGATCATTGGAAAGCTGCAAAGAAGGTACTAAGATATCTGCAAGGAACAAAAGACCACATGCTCACCTTTAGGAGATCTGATCACCTTGAGGTGATTGGGTATTCAGATTCAGATTATGCTGGATGTGTAGACACCATAGAAGTCTACTTTTGGCTATTTGTTCCTTCTAGACGGAGGGGCAATTTCATGAAAGAGTGCGAAGCAGTCTGTTATTGCCACATTCACTATGGAATCTGAATTCATAGCTTGTTATGAAGCTACGAATCATGGTTTATGGCTGCGGAATATTATTTTTGGACTTGGAATTGTCGACATTATCGCCAAGCCGCTGAAAATTTACTGTGATAATTCTGTAGCGGTATTCTTCTCTAAGAATGACAAGTATTCGAAGGGTGCTACGCATATGGAGGTGAAATACTTTGTCGTTAAGGAAGAAGTTCAGAAACAAAGGGTGTCGATCGAGCATATTAGCACACAGCTTATGATTGCTGATCCATTAACAAAAGGATTGCCTCCTAAGACATTGACTGAACATGTCGAAAGGATGGGGATTATAAGACGTCATGACTAAAGTTATTTTATGTTTCATGGATTGACACTTTGAGCTCATTTATTTTGTTTCTGGAATAAAGTTATGAATCTTGTTTTGTTTATTATGATCAGTATATATACATTATGAATTATGTGGACAAAACAAGATTTTTGTCTTTAGGAAAGACATTATTGTTGGACCATTATGAATACCTTGTTATGTGTCATATTGAGCATGAAACTGGTTTTGTGGTACATGGAAGGGACTAGGTCGATAAATTGTTATAGAACCACCATGATCCTAATCTAGCTTTCATACTTGATTATGAATTTATGGTGAACCAAATATTATGGATTTATCTTATGATGTGCACACTTATGTTTATTATTAGATCTTGTGATATATAATGACACATGGGCCAAGTGGGAGAATGTAAGCCCAATTCCCGTATAGATCACTAGGGAATAATTGTGGCCCAAGTGTAATTATCACTTAATGGTTTAATATATAAGGTAAGTCATATATTTGTTAGGTTAATGAAAGGTAATTTCCTAATATACCCTGATGGTGGGTCTATATAAAGAAACCCTAGGATTGGTCCTCTCTCAACCCATTACGTAGAATTTCTTAGCCGTCATAGAAATCTCTAAACCTAAAACCTAAAGGGGTCAAGAGGGAGAAACTCAATTCCGGTGATTACTACTCAAGCCGCCGCCACCGCCGCCGCTCTCGTCATGGATCGAGGTAGGTTTCCTTGATCTATTATCGATTCGTGAAAACATCTAATTCTAAGATCCATGCTATTATGATTTATGTTTACAAGACATAGAAAAAAAATGACATTTTCAAATGACACTCTTCAAAAACGAGGAAACTCAACAACTAGGGTTTTAGTCTTGACTATAAAATGGATAAGGATAATAAGGCCAAGTCCAATGCAAAACCCCAAATTTGGGGGCCTTGAATCCCAAATTTGGGGATTGAACCCCATTTTCCCTTCTTTTGCTCCAATGCAACAAATTCCATATTTGGGGTTCTTAATATTTCTAGTTTTTGCATTTACTTAAAAATGTACTTATCGTAGTCTTAATATAATTTATTCATGTTAATTTTTGTATAGTTCGTCATCATTTTTTAATACAATTTTTTCAATAGAATTTTGTTAAAATTTCGAGTCCGAATTTTTTTGACAAAAAATTATGTACCTAATTTGGGTTTACACACAACACTTGAAAATGATTGATATAATTAAATCCCTAAGGCCCTGTTTACTTTCATTTCTGTTTCCTGTTTTTGAGAAAACAGATGTTGAAAACAGGTGAAAACGACATTTTTTCGTTTTCGAAAACAGTAGGAAGCTGCCACTTTCTGTTTTCAGAGTTGGAAACGAATAGAAAACAGAATGAAAAGTAAACATGTTTTCTCGTTTCGTTTCCCAAATTTGTAACATGAAAACAGAAAACAGGAAGTGAACATGGCCTAACTAATCCCCTAATTAAACTCTCAATTAACTCCTAAAATCTTAAAAAGAAAAAGAAAAACCACGTGGCGGCTTTGGTGAGCCTCTATATTTGGGGGATCCCCATTTCCACCTCCAAATTTGAGGTTCCATATGCAGGATCCTCCATTTTTGGAGGCCCAAACCTCCCCATTGGACCATCTCCTCTTTCATTTTTGCAGATTCCCCCATAAATGAGGTACCCATTGAACTCAGCCTAAGTCCTCAAAAAGCGTTAGATCATGCGTAGAAACCCAAATGTCCCCATGGACAAGAATGGTTTAAACTTTAAAGAAAGATGAGACGAAGTGACAGATGCCTCCTCTTCTCATTTAACAGCACCCATGACAGGATTTTAGATTTGAACATAGACCACAATGTCAATTATGCAGCATGTACAATTTGCAAGGAATGCATATATACCAGAATTGATTATGGGTACAAGATGGCATAACGTGCTACTAGTTGTAACTCTTCAATCAACGCACAGTTGGAATCTTAGGTACAACTTGGTGGGTTTAGACATTTATATACAGCAGATGCAGGCTGCTTATACGCAGGTATACTGTTGATATCGACAAATCGAACTTCCCCAGGCTCAAAAGAGAGTTCATGATGCCTGCAAGGTAGTGCTATTAATCAATAAATCTAGTTGACTGCTATCTGTTCGAGAACTACCATTCCAAAAGGTGATGAAAGAAAAAGAAGCTGAATGCAGTTGGTACCTTCGAAGGTCAAGACCAACTAAACCAGCTTGCAAGACTGTTAAATTGTCAGAATCGGGAGACACAATTATGACTGTCTCTCCAGAATACTGGGTCTCCAGAATCGACATGAGTTGAGTGACGCGAACAAACACATCCTCGACACTCTCACTCGGTGTCCCATCGTCTATCGGAGGAGGCTTGTTTCTTGGGGAAACAGTATCTGATGCATACACCTGCGGACATTAAACCCATATGAGAGTTCAGAGTAGGGTCCCGAAAGCCATTCAGTGAACACACTTTCACATGAGTTTCCCCTCAATATCTTTGGAATTGACAAAGTTCATTAATGCACATCTTACCTCAGAGACAACTTCCAAGCTCCTGCCTTCATAACCTCCCAACCCACGAGCATCCAAGAAGCTATACTCAGGAACTATATAGCTGCAACCCAAAATTCATTCATTCTGAATTCAAGAGTCAGTCCTAATCACCCAAAACTCAATTGTGCGTTACCTCCTACTGATTCCATTAACTGCAGCTATGACTTCAGCGGCCTGGTAGGCCCTCTGGGTAATAGACGGCCAAATCCAGCAGCCATCGTCACAAGCTCCCATGGCCTTCAGTTTAAGAGCAGCTTTCACAGTCTGTTTTTTCCCCTTCTCCGAAAGACCGTTATCGACGGATGTTTTGGCAACAGGATTCGTGTTGATTATCCCCATGTCCTCATATTCAGATTCCCCAGCTCTTACCAAGTAGTATCTGTTTCAATCGCAACACCCAGTTAACGCATTGATGGGAAGAAAGAGATGAATTAAAGAATTTAACGTAAGGGGATTATATTTACGAGACAGGAAGCACCGATTGATGAGACGAAACGGTGGCATCTGAAAGAGGCCGCGGGCTTCGGCGATTTGCGCGGGAAGAGTCAGGGTTATCGCCGCGGCAGAGAGGGAGACCGCCGCATGAAGGAGGCGACGCCGATTTGTGAGCTCAAGTGGGAAGGGGGAGTTCGTTGCGGAGATGGGTTTTACGGCGGCAGCGTCGGATGAGGGGGACGCCGGCACCCCCGCGACTCTGGTTGTGACTGTTAGCATTTTGGCGGTTGGCTAGGGGAGGTTCCTTCGTGTCGTCTAAATCATTCCAATGTATCGAGTAGGCAGCGGGGCAGTTTTTTTTTTTCTGTGGTCATAAATATCAAAGGAATCGGCAGCTATATTACGGAGCACTTCTAATATGTTACAATTTTACGACTTGAAGTTGTACTATCATATAAATGTATAAGTTTAAGTTGTACCATAAAAGAATTTATACAAAAATTATAAGTATAATCGGAAGTTGTACCATAACGTAAATGTACAATTTTAAGTTGTACCATAAAGGCAAAACCCTATAGCACCAATACTATATAACATTGTAAAATTTCTCACATTACGCTGGGATAAGTTTAGGGTTTTTTTTCTAATTCCATTAGAAAGTTCAAAGTTCAAAGTATTCTATATCAAAAGTGCATTTGTGTCATAAAACTATTCAATATGATAAATCTGGCACAGACTATATACGTTTCGTGACATTTATGTCCTAAACGTATTCAATATGACAAATCTGGCATAAACCACATAGATGTTGACTAGATTTTTTGATAAATACTAACAGTCTACGCCGGTCAACATTAACGAAAAAAATAGTTCGTACCAGATTTGTCATATTGAATAGTTTAGGACACAAATGACACTTTTTGAATAGTTTGGGCTTTCTAGTGGAATTAGCTCTGTTTTTTATGAATAATTTTGCATCTCTATTCCAAAAAACTAGCATTCGGCTCCGTCCGTTGGTCGCTACCGTATATAACTTCAATGAGTATTGTATTATGTATCGAGGAAGTTCCGACTATACGGATGATTTTGCCTTCTCATAAATTTGTTGTACCGTTGTGAAACCACTTGATAGCCCGTCTCAAGTAGAATCTCTGGATGCTATGCCATCCCACTTCACTTCACTACCAAAAACCTGGAGTAGATTTGTTTCGCGGTTTTCCCAGAAAGCCACTCACAAAGCCTATATCAAGTAATTTTCATAGTATTATGTTTCTCTTATTCCACAATGCTCATCTTAGTAAAAACATCCCACTGAAGAATTAGGAAGGTTGGAGGACTGCTTGTTTTCGATATAAAGCTTTTCGCAATGCACATCATAGTAAAACCGCCATACTATTAAAGCTCAATGGTCTGGGATTCATGCTTCAGTATGCATGAACTTTCTCATATTACCCATAACTTTTTATTAACCATTGAACCCATTTCTTGGGTTTCGAGTGAACTAGCTTGGGTTACCATCACTTGTAATCAATGGTTCGGTATGCATATGTAATATACTCCTTATCGGTATTTTGGAATTTCTCTCTAGCTAGTCCTTTCGTCAAAGGATCAGTTAGATTCTTTTATAATCTTAAGTTCATCCTTTAGTCAAAGGATCAACTAGATTCACTTTTAGTCTTAAGTAATCTAACTTTAGTGCTCCAACAGTTAGGAACTCTCTCTTACATTAATGTTCGCATGACAAACTTGTCATCTCTTACCATTTGTAGCAACAGTTCTATTTAGCAATTGCTATCACAATGGATCAATGACGGCAGCCAAGGTCTTTCCAATAAGGGGATTCTATTAATAATCCTCTCAATCAACTTTCTTCTCTACTAACCATTGCTAGTTCTATCATTTCTAATTCCATAGTTAATTGAGCTAGGATTAATTACTTCCTTGTTGTTCATTAGCTAGGAAGTGAAAGCACACATTAGCTAGTGACTCACTCCAACTACCATAATCAAATCCCGACTAGAGTCCAAGTATAAACTCTAGTAGGGTGTAGTATAAAACAAGTGCTTTAATTGTCAACTCAGACCGGTCCATGTACCCCTTCTTCAATCGCTTAGGTTGTTATCTAGAAAACGATTTTGGGTATAAATTAGGAAAACTATAAAATAAACAAGCAAGCAAAGAAATTAAATTGTGAAGAATTCTATATGAGAGGACTTCACCTAGGTATTGCTCCCCCTAGTCTCGTTAAGAAACAATGAATGAAACTCTAGTGTGAACAATGTGTTTATATACCGTGGGGCGGGTGCAACTAGTTCGGAAACCCTAACTCTCTTACTCGACCAATTAAGGATTACAACTAAAAGCTAGGAAATCTAGCCATCTTAACCAATCAACCAAGGATTGCAAGAACCAATCCCTCAAATATTAATTCGGACGATGGATAGCTACCAATCATGATGGAATCATGACACTAATTCGATTTTTAAGGTTTGCCCTCATTTGCCTAGGTGGCTGACACAAATTTTCCAAGAAATTCAGCTTCTCAAAACCTCTAACAACAAAGGGATTCTCTCCACCTAGGTCAAAATTTCCCAATAATGAGTTAAAGCTAGCAACAGTCAATCATTCATGAATACTAACTCAAATATCATATAAAACACACAATAAACACATAGAATCATGTTCTTACATCCTAACAGACATCTAGACTAGGGTTCACAATACCCAAGTGAGAGCGAGCACTACTCCATAGCTAGGCAAGGAATATAACAAAGATGAACGAAAGAACCATGGTGCGGTGACTATCCTCCTTCCTTGTTGCTTGAATCACCCTTGAGAGAAGACAACCTTCAAACCTCTACCTTAGGCCAAGCCCAAACCTCCTTCTTCTTCCTTTCTTCTTCACTTCTTCTCTCTTTATCTCTCTAGAATTCTTCCTCCTTTTTAGGGGTTTTCAGCTGGAACCCTAGAAGGGAACCCAAGAAATCTAAAACCCAACCAAGTTCCAGCTCTCTCTTCTCTCTCCAAGTTGCCTTCTATTTATAAAATCAGACACACTGTCAAGGGCAGAAAGTCAAGGCCATGACATTGGAGCTCCAACCATGAATCAGAACCAAACTTGGAAGACAACTGTATTTCTGTCCGACATCACAGTTTCTGGGAAATTGTCAAGGTCCAGTGACCGTGACAACCTTTAGGCCCGCGAGATATAAGAAAACCCCGTGTTCCTTCATCCTTGTTTCCGTCCTCTGGTCAATTGTCACGACTTGGAGACCGTGATAATCACGTCTAAACCGTGATAAGTGACTTTTCTTCGCTTTTTGGCGCTTTTCGACTCCAATTTCTCGAGGCTTATCCTCGACCCTTCCACACGTGCTAGGATTTGAAATGTAAGAAAAATAGCACAACCTAGCATACAATAATGATGATTTGCAAAGTCAAACTATCAAGAAATGAGGGGTAACATATGTGTAATTAGCCCCGAATCAGCTAGTTATTGTTGTTTTTGCATATGGCGAAGCTCGGTTAGAAATGCATTTGTGGAAGAGATAGAGTATCATAAAACATTATGGATCGGAGCATCTTATTATGAGATTGTATGCATGATCATCTTGAAAATACTACTTAAATAGTAGTTTTCATTACTTGCTCTAGTGTCTTGCCTTGCTTCCTTTTATTTGCTCTAGTAGAGTAGAATTCAACCAACATACATGGAACCTTCAACCCATTGTTTTTGCTTTCGATTGCTTTGTTATTTAAACCATACGTTGTTAGCTTTGAGTAGTTACTATAAAAGACCACGTGGACTACAAACCTAGGCATATCTAGGATTTTTGCACGTTTATTACGCATCATTAACCCCAACTCGAAGAACCCAAACCCAACTAACCCTCAAGAGGATGAGCTCAAAACCCGACTAAAACACAACTCGATTAAACCCAGCACGAACCCGCCCGATTGACACCTCTGACATCAATAATGATACCTTGCACAATGGGGGAAAATCTTGATATTTTTTTTTTAATTTGAGGACCAAGACACCTGTAAAGACTCATTAGATCCATGGGTTATGTGAATCATAACAGAGCATAGTCTTGTAATCATGCCTCTATTATGTATGTCACATGAATTAAGTTGTGACAAAAGTAAGGATATCTTGGATGAAATATTTTATTAATTTTTATAAAAAGTGAGGAGAATTAACAAAATTGGTGGAGAATTTATTCTATATAAGGCAAATACTGAAACAGACGTCAAATAAGTCAGAACTAATTATCTGATGATGACTATAAAATGGCAATGCACGCAATTAGGTATTGGAGTGCATCAATCTCTAAAAGCAAGCTCAGCTCATTAGCACGATGATGAAGACGCATTGTAGGAATGGATGGAGGTTTAGTGTTGCAGCTGCAAGTGCGGTGTTATTGTTGGTAGTCATCAACCATCTCCATGCTATTGTGACGATAAAGCTTTCGAGAAGTGTGTTGATCGTTACATGCCACATTGTATGTTTCATTTCATCTGTGATTCACGGTGTTGTAGCAAATGTGCTAGTATTGATTGTCAGACTAGACATTGCTACTTTTATGGTGAGTTGGCAGGACGAACACTTATAAATTAGCTTGTTAACTAGGTCTGGCCGCCTAGCGCATCCACCGATACAAATACCATATTACAACAAGTTTGCGTAGGATGATTAGATATGTTCATCATCGTAACAAGAGCTACTAGTTTTTTTGCTTAGTTTTTTGGTTTCTAGAATAATTATCTGTCGTTTGACCAAATATTGTCATTGTAGCAGATTATTACTCAAACTTTTCTAAAGGCCACTTTTACAAAGATAACGCGATCTCAACCTTCAACTATGCCACCAAAGTCTGATATATGTATGAATTAGAAATGATAATTTGGAGTATTAATTCAAATTAAAGCAGTACGTTAGATTCTTTGAGAAATGATAAAAAGTATAACATAGTTAGCCATGTAATTTGAACGTGGATCTTGAGATAATTTTAGTTAGTGGGATATTGTACCATCTTGTTAAATCACATATGGAATGATTTCAAATTTATAATAAGATACCAAAATATTTCTACGAGTTTCACACGATCTTGCTATTTAATTTTTAGGTTTGGGTTGAGTTGTGCGCAAAGTGGTTTATTCCCACATATTCATTTATGATAGAACACATTTTCTCGGCGAACTCGCCAACCATAAAAATAATTATAATTTAGTGCGCTCTTAAATTGTTGAACTTATAAAATCCAATTGAAGATGCGATTACTATAACATCATTAAAATACACATAATCATGAACAAATATACAAATCCATAGCCAAGACGAGACCTTGATCATAAAAGGGTCAAACTCATT